ATTTGGTCTAAAACAAGAAACAATCCACACCTCTCGGGTGTTTAAGGAGAAATGCTGGTGTTATTCATGTCACATTGATTGGGCAGACATGACACTGAAAGATGAGCCCACTGGTGCAAAACCCACCATGTGTGTATGCCTGTTGCTCTCTAAAGGGAAACCAAAATGAGCCGTAAGTGTTTATTTCATTTTCCTCTACCTTTTTAGTATAAATATAGACAACCGTGTTTCCAAAAATCTGGTGATTCTTCTGTCTGCCTGTCATACAGAATGAGGCAGGACATTCAATTGTCCCAAGTTGCCAAATGAACCTAACAAGGTGGTAATTAGCAGATGGCAGGGGCTTTCTCACCATTTCTGGAGCTGCACTACTGTCAGAGAATTGCCTCATTAGACGCCCACTGACACCCCTGCCGGTGACATCTCTTCATTGCTTCCTCTCTCATTTTGGAAGAGCATTGTGTCTATGCAAGCATATTGTAATTTAACTGCCTGTTTACTGGATGCCTGGGTAAATATCTGTATTGCAAGTGTATTGTTTTGGCCCCGGTGAACCGAGAGCATGCTGGTGTGCCAAGTCGAGCTGCAGGGTTTTAGCAGATACAAACAAAGATGGATAGTTTTACCTGAGTGCTCGGTACAAAGTTTGGAAGCTTATTTGTTTCTGTAGTTGAAGTTTCTCATTTTGCCAAAAGTTTTTTTTTTTTTTTTTTTGAGTCAACCTAACTTCTTTCTCATGATTATACCAGTCTGAACAACAGATTAACGGCTATGATCTAATCTGTTGGTCTGCTGATGATTAAAATACTACGTAAACTATTCGACTTGGTTCCACTTTGGTCACTAGAAGATGAAGCCTATCAAAGTGATAATCGATAGGCAGCACATGAAATTATTAGCCTATATCTTTTTTTCAATGGCACGTCTTGAACTGTTGGATGGATTGTCGTGAGACACTTTACCCCAGATGAAATTTCAGTTGATGGTGTTATTTCTTTCAAGACGAGATGCTTAAAAAACCCATTACTGTCATCCTCAACTGTGCTTTGCTGGTTGTGTGATTTGGTACATTTTAACACAGTTTTTCTAAGAAATTGAACATAGTCAGCATTATACCTGCTAAATTGTGTTAGCATTGTGATAAAGGATTATGTAGAAACAGTCTCAGTGCTGCTAGCATGCTTCTAGGCTTTTGTTGTAATTATGTTTTAAAAATAAATCCGAAGCACCTCGTATTTCGAAATAAAAGTACATTACAAAGGATTTGTTCTGCTTTAGAATTTCATTGTGCACTTTAAAGCAGAAAAGTTGTGTACCCATCTGCTAAGCCTGTCCTCCTGCTCCTCAATATGTGACCTGAAAACTAATGGCAGCTAAACACAAAAAGAAGGCTTGGCTTGTATTTGCCTTTATCCTCGCGGCAGAAGACAGGTGGAGAGGCACTATGGCGACAGGTAGATGCAGACATCCCTTGAAAGCAGATGATTGTTATTAGAGCAAATAAAAGGTTAAGTGGCTAGCAGTGGAATAGAGAAAAAGGAGAGATGCAGGGAGGCCTGATAGCAATTCAGAAAGTGATCTCAAACATAGGTGTGAAGAGCCGCGTGGGGATCTGCCAAGGCTGATGAATCTCCACAGAAAGGGCGGCACAGGCATGCATGGAGTGGTTGAACAATGATTAAAAGGGAAAATGAGACAAGCCTGATAGGTTTCCATGTGTGTTCCCATGCATCATCATTAATCCTCCGTGCAAACGTCACCCACTTCGTGCACCTTGTCCGCCTTCACTCCCTTTGTTTTTAATAATTCTCCATCCTTGAACTGCAGTTCCCCTTTTCCCCAGCTGCTCCCCTACACTCCCCCTGTGTGAGAGTGCCTAATAGCCGGATGACAAGGCACAAAGGCTTCCATTGTGTCCCACATGCCTCGTACTACTACCCTGGCAGGCCAGTGATGTGCTGCCTTGTAACCTAGCAGGAAGCTGAGAGTCGCTGCACTCCCCCTTTCTCTCATTCTCTTTCTGTCTCTGGAGATATGATGTGGCAGGCTAACGCAAGCTGACAGGCGGGCCACAAAGGCTACCCTGTTAGAGGCTCTTGAGTAGGAGTTTGCTTTGGGCAGTGGAGGTAATTTGCATGTGTTTGTGTGTAAGCGCAAGAGAGAAAAAGAGATTGATTTTTGTTGACCCTGCGTTGTATCTACACATAGTTGCGGGAATTCTGTGGTATCGGTTAGTACCCTCTGTTGTCCACACTGAAACCAGTTGATCTTTCGAGGCCTTGTGTGAAAATAGATTTGAGGTGGGTTTCCCAAGCTTGATAAAAGCCCTGGCGGGAGGGGTAATCACTCCCATCTATGCAAGCTTGACCCAGTGGGAGGGATGGGATGTATTTTCTTTATGTTTATTAGAATTTGGGGTTTTTCATTTCTCATAGCTTCTGGGAACATGGACCGCAGGCTTGTGGCTTTTGTGGGGTTTTGTTGTGTATTCAAAGCCAAGCAGCTTTTGTTTCATTGACCTAAATTCCTTACATTCATTGTGCCAATAAAAAGTCTATAGAGTTACATAATAGATAGCCATGCTTCTCCATGCCTTAGCACTTACTTGTACCACTGACATGCTGCAATTGCGGTACCGTTTCAGCTTAAGCAAATTAGCAGGTACATGAAGGATGACTGGAAGCCCCAACAATTCCAAAAACCTGCCTGTGCCTTCCTGCAGAGCACAGTGCCACAGTACTGAGTTGTGTTGAGCATCCAGTAAACAAGAAATTCAAAACGCTTTATTAAAAAATATTCTCACCACCACTTTTTAAAACAACATTATCCTGCTGATCTGCAGTCCTAGCATTACTTGTTTTATCCCCTTAGGGAATAAATAACAATGAATTGAATTTACAATATTTTGGAATTAGGTGGGTTTTTATTTTGTCTTATTCCCCAGCTGCCTCGGCTCTCCTTTAACACTTCCAAATGAAAATGTCATAAAAATATTGTTCAAGTTTTTCTTGAATAGGAAAAGCTCTTACAGAGTGTGGGGTGTGTAGGATGCGCCACAAAAAAATCATTACTTTCACTATGGGAATATTTCTCTTTGCTATTATGAGAGTTGGATTTTTTTTCTTTTTCTTTTTTACATGTATCTGTATGTGTGTGTGTGTGTGTGTGTGTGTGTGTGTGTATTTTGTAAATTAGTGAATACATTTGAATGCAAAAAAACGTTTTTAGTTGTTAATTAAAATAATGATGGAGAGTACTATTTCAAAATATTTATGAGTAGATGAGCCAACAAGAGAATCGCTCTTACAATTTGTAAAATTACATATTTACATATTCTGCTGGAAGACGTGACTGACTTAAGCTCCCCACGGTAGTTTAATGTCGATCTCATTTGGAGTCTGTCATTTACTGCATGACTTGTGTTTGATTTGTCAACATTCCCTGATTTGGATAAGACATCTGCTGGATTTCACCACTTCTGTCAGAGACTCTGGCAGACATTGGCACATCTTGGCCTTGCGTTTCTGCATTTTGGGCTGCACAAAGAAAAAGGGACAGATGCATAATACAAGACTTGATTCTGATCAAAGTCAAAGTGTTGTTTTGAGATGAAGAAAAAAAAACCCAAAACAAAACAAGTGGCATGACAATTGATGTAGATATCACATCCTTGTGCTCACTCCCTTAGTCTGCAGCGTAAGGTTAATTGCGTACCCCCTGCTAAGCAGTGGTGGAGAGAATGAGCTTTGATGCCCGCAGTGGTAGTGAAGACGTATTCAAAGCACATCCTGCGTGTCCCTTCTTCAGAAAGAAACTTATGCTCCACACACAGCTTGAGACCACACAGTGGAAGAGTCTAACTGTAGCAAAGAAGCACAAGGGATTTTGCTCTTGGTTTTTTTCTTCTCTCTTTTACTCTATAATATTCCATCACTTCAAGAAGAACTGTAAATCTTCTTCCTGCACTCTCTCTCTCAGACTTTGCTTCCTTTTTTTTGCTTCTAAAAAACAGCCACCCTAATGTTCTGTTCCTGTTTTGTTTTTTTGTTTTTTTGGTTGTTTTTGTCGTGAGTGCATCTGAATTATTACTACAAAATTGTCCAATTAATTTTTAATCAGATCACTCCCCACACTTGGATTAAACTGCTGTTCCTCCTAGGAAATAATATTGCTAATGTTATGCTCTTGCCTTTTGCCATGCGTCTGGATTTTTAACGATAGAGCTTAATAAATATTTAATCATGTGACTAATAGGTTTCATTCCGATCGGGATTGGATAGGGATCATACTATGTACATTTACCTACAATTGTGTGAAAAAGAAGGTTTTCCAAATTAGGACACAATAAAACACAAATGTGTTCCTTAGCAGGTCTTGAATTACATAAATATGTATTGCTGATGGGTTACATTGATTGACTGAACCTACAGTGGTGGGAAAAAATGTATCTCAAGGGTCTAACTCATCGATGATAAAGGCGGACATAGCTACAGTGACATCATCCATTGGTTTCTGATGTTCTGCGTTAAAGCCTTGAGATCTTGATTTAACAAACAAACAACAAAAAACCCGTTTTTCACAAGGAGGGGTGTGTCTGACTGTGAAGTGCTTTGGCTGGCAGCTTATTGGTCACAAGCCGTTATGTAATGAGCATACCAAGGCCAATCCTCCTTTTTTAAAACCTAGCATGAAACATGACAGTGATCATTATTGGAAGCGTAAAACTTTCATAGACTTGCATGCTACTATGTGCTACTAATCACATAGTATCAGATGTAAATATTTACTGTCCCAACATGTGGTGTTTTTGATTTGGGGACTGTAACAGGGGTTATTGATTAGAGCTTTCCAGTATTGTTGGTTATAAAATAAAATTTCTGATTATCTTTTTAAATTGTCTTTAAATGTAAATAATCAAAAAGGTGTTTTTAAAATGTGTGTAGTTTGGAGGCCGTCCAGTGTGAATTCATAACTCAAACTTTTCTTTTCTTTCCCTCCAGGTAAAGTGTTGAATACTGATTTGCGTCACTACCTCAGTCTGCAGTTTCAGAAGGGCTCCCTGGACCATAAGCTCCAGCAGGTGATTAGGGACAACCTGTACCTGCGTACCATTCCCTGTGAGTACCTTCCTCAGCCTTGGGCCCTTCAGTCTTCTCTCTCTGTCTGGGTCTTCTTGTTGCCCTCTCACCTCTCCAGATGGAGCGTGGTCTCTTCCCATCTGTAGCACTACCTGTTATGCATTTTCCTCCAGGCCCTCCCTATTCTTTAATTCAAATAAACCCCTTTAACTTGTTTTCTGTTAATTTCTTCTACTTACACTTCAGTATTATAAACTGCAGATTTTCACTTCTTGATCTTATCAAAATTTCTAAAAGCACACAGTCCTATGAAAACCTGAATAGGCTTCTATATGGATGTCTACATAGGTAAAATATATATAAATATGTGCTTGTGCTATAAAAAAAGGTGAAAAACTTTCAGTGTTTTTATGTTTAATAATGGAGTTTTGCCCCTGTGTATATGAAATATTTAATTAAGAGAGATGTTTGTCAGTTTCTGATTGTTGTCAGACCTTGGTTGTGTTCAATTTAAATTCAGGAAAGAGTAATTGTACATTTTCTTCCCTATTTATTTTCCACCCTCTGATTTTTTTTTTCCCCCTCAGTTTGAGTTTGCTCCACTGCTTCTTTTGGAATATTCTGTGTTTATACCCGAGTGATTTAAAAATGGACAACAAGGCCAACAGGCGTAAATGAACAAGCAGCTGCAGTTCTCTGGGATGTGCAGCTGAGTTAAAAAAAAACAAAAACAAAACATAAACAACAGTGTTTTTGCCATTTATCACTACTCGAGACAGCATTTATTACTTGTGCAACTCACAGTTAGCATTTGGAAAGCTTTCATTTCTGACATTTTGCTTGTGGGGGACATTATTCAAAAAACAGTTGGAGGTGCATTTAAGGAATATTGCTGTGTAGAAGTATCACTGATTAACTTGAGACACATATTTATTTGTGTCTTACAGAATAATCATGCTTGCTGTCGTGGAAGTTTCCCAGTAGTTTAAAGTTTAATAATTAGACCTCCTCTCCTAATTACAGTGTGATAAATAACATCTCAGTCTTTTCTATCTCAAATAAAATGCAAATGTTACATTTTCTCCCATTAGCTGAAGCTGAAAAAGCTGAAAAGCAAGTGTTGTAGTTGTACCTGCTTGTGCACATTTGGGTCTACTTTAGTGAGTTATTGTGGAAGATAATAGAAACTGTGAACCACGCGTATTAGCACTGCGGTTTGGCTTCAGTAGCTCAGCATATGTCCGCTGTCCAGTTTGCTCATTCAGGCCTGTGCCAGTGGCTTATCACAGTGCACTCAGCCAAAGTGACCCTGTGAGCAGCCTAAATAGCCACTACAGCATGATGCCATGCGCTCATTACAGCACTCCAAATAGCATTTTGGAGTGACAGAAGTATGACTTTGCTTTTCTGCTGCACACAGAGAAGCTTCATTAAGTGTCACTCTTGCCTCCCACAAACTGGGGCTCAAGACAATACCAGGAGTCTAGGTCACCCAAAAATCCTTAAAGCTTCACTAAATCCCTACACCCAACTCTACCGTCTACTATCGCTCTCTCCTTCCCTGGGTATTAATATCCATTGCAGCACAGCACTCAGGCCCACTAGTCTCGCTTCACGATAAAACACCAAGGAAGGATGGTGCAAAGGTAAAAATAAAGTGCCTCGGGTTTTCAGTCAATTGCAATTTCTATTTTGAGAAGTTAAAAACAAGTGTAAAAAGAAAAAAAACTAAGCATAGCTGTTGCACTGAACTCATCACTTACTGTTTTCTACTTACTGTAAGTCTCAGACAACTGTGGATGATGTGTGCCAAAATGGACAAGCTAAATGCACACTTTCAAGTGTTTTCACTGTAGCTATTGAGCCAGCAACTGTAACCAACACTCATATTTCCATGTCCCTTTATGTTAGCGTTCTGGTTTATTGTGTGTTTATCGTATATTACAGTCAAACTCACACAGTCTGACTAAAAGTTTGAAGTTGGCACTACGCAATCATGCATCTGTCAGTTTACAAATGGCAATCCCTGTGCTTCTTTACTCATTCTATTTTGTTTTGCTGCAATTAGCATCTTGTGGGCAAATGCTTGTTGTTTCTTCTGGTGCTCCACTGAGTGGGTGTTTAACCTGCAAAATACAGTTCACGACTAAGAAAATCCATGAAAACACAGTTCATACCTAACACTGGAGAGCCGGATTTTGATGTGAAGTCAGAATAACCTCCACAGACCTACTGTAGCAACTGCAATTACTTTTTGTTTTTCTTCTGTTTTGCTCCTGTATGGTTTTCATACAGTTGTTTCATGTCTTAAAAAAATCAAACACATAAACGAAAAGTTGAAACAGGCTTGTGTTTTCCGGTGAGAATTGGCAGCAAATTTCTTCTGGTACTCTCTTCAAGGCTCCTTCTCCCAGTGCTCTTTTTTTCAGGTGGCAGTTTCAGCAGTCTTAGCAGTCTCTTTCCACTGTCTAACCACTGAATAACAAACTGCACATACAGTTTTATTTTTGCTGTCTCCTTCATGTTTTAAAACTTATTTTGTGTTATTTTGGGGGGTTTCTGCTACTTTTTGCAGTCATGTTGCACCAACTTCATATGAAAACACATTTACATCGATTATATAACAGGAAAACCAATCCAGTGTCTTGGAGTTTGTTGGTAAGGTAGCTGAATTAACAATAAATAGCTACATAATACATTTCCCTATCCCTTCTTCCAAAAATGAGCTCGTATATCTTCTTCTTGTGATTTTTATTGGTCTCATCTGATTGCTCTGTTTGACAGAATAAAAGATTGCCTTTGCAAGAAACTAAACAGTTTCCGATGCGATGGCTCACACTGCAGTCGGGATGGATGTTGACACAGAAAGAAAATGAAGAATGGGGATGGGTTCCTATTAAGCTCTGAGTTAAAATCCCTCGTGCCTGCAGTGCAGTCAGATAGCAGAGCGGTTTAGCTGAGGTATTTCAAAAGGCCTGATTACATCTAAGATGATGGTAAGAGCGGCTGGCGTGTTAGGGAGCATAAAATTATTTTCATAACAGTAAGTTTTCAGTGTCTTGCCATTGAGACCATCAACAAGGGGAAATGTGACACTTTTTAAATCACAGTTGCAGCATGGTACTACTTAATGGCTCTTTGCTGCAATTGAAAGTGCTTTAAGGTTGCCTGTTTCAGGGGGTAAAGGACTGTAAAACGAAGGGAAAAAGGAGAGCAAAGGATGCATTTGGGAAAAAAGGGAATTCTTCTTTCTCGATTATTGTTTTAGGCAAAGCAACTGCCACCGATCATAACCACTGACATTTGGAAATACACTGCAAGTATGCGTGATTTGCTTGTTGTTGTTGTTTTTTTTATTCTTTTTTTAGTGCAGGAAACAACTATTGTGGCTAATAAATCAACAGAAAGGGATTTGAGGTGACAGTGCGTTATATTCATTTGAATCTATTTACAATATCAGTTTGTGGTTTGTTGATAATGAGGTTCCATAAAATGCGTTGCATAAACAAACATTTTATTTAGGTAGCCGTAGGCTGGCATGTCAGAAGTGTACAGCACCAGGATGTACATCGGATTAGTTATTATTAATTCCGGAGAACTAATTTCCACACAGCGTAGACATGCAGATGGTGTTATTATTGAAAAGAAATATGTGTAAGGTCAACAGAGAGCTTTCTAATTTTTCTCATTTATCGTGCTTAAAGTGGTGCTGTTCTACACAATCAGCGTCAAAGTATGTAATTAAAAATCTTGTTCATTGTCATCGCTTGTATTTCCTCTGTATTGTGACAGCTGTGTTGCTCTGTGGAGGACATTTTTTTCCCCCTCTGCTTCATATTTGAATAATGAATTCATCGCTTTGCTGTTCCAGCTTTGTTGACTATTCATGATGCAGACACAGATTCTCCCCTGAGCATTGTATTTGGACTTGAATCACATCCCTGTGGGCATGTTGGATTGAGTGTCACTTCCAACCCCCACTCCCACCCTGGCAATGAATGGCACATTCCACTTGTTTGGAGTTCCTACTGTATTAAACTTTCTCATTGTTGGCAGGTACTACTCGGCAGCCTCGAGAAGGGGAGGTTCCGGGAGTGGACTACAATTTTATCAGTGTGGCGGAGTTTCGTGAACTGGAAGAAAGTGGACTGCTGCTGGAGAGTGGCACCTACGATGGTATGTTCTCATGCACAAGGAACACATTATTATGGAGCGGCCTGGATAGATAGTTTAACTTTAAGTGGGAGAAATAGGGAGTTACAAAACATCAGACACACATCAGACCCTGACCTTGGTATCGAACTATAAAATGATTTTGTTCTTTTCAGACTTTTGTCTGGTTGTTGATTGTTGTGAATACCAGTTGTTCAAGTCTTTTTTTCCTCTGAGCATAAAATACAGTCGCTTTTAATCATTGTTATAAATAATGAGAAAGAAATACTGTACTATTATAGGGGTAGATTTGAAGATTGAGTCATACAGACAGACAGCCACAGCCACACTGGCAGTCACTGTGAAATCTTTTGCCCCAGGCAACTGCTAGCAACTATTTTTCAAGATGTTGCTTGCCAGTGCGAAATTGGTTGCAAAGAGGTATGTGATGCCGCACCAAAAACCTCCCTGTGATTGCCCTTTGGTTGCTAGCAGATAACCATGGTTGCCAATAGTTTGCAAGATGCTGACTCCAAACACTCGCCAAGCCGTAGTAAAAATTTAAAAAAGTGTGATGGAAAACAGAAACTCAGACAGTTTGTCTTCAAAGTAAAAGTTGCATCTTTTGAGGTGTGCTTGCTGCAGGTTGAAGAATAAATGTTGAGTGTTGGAAGACAAGCCATCGCCTTCCAGTAGCCAGTAGCAAATGACCAAAGCAATTACAAGGAAATTTTTGGTGCAGCAAGTTCTTTGTCACATATCAATCTCTATGCTTGTGTGACTAAGGCCAAAGATGGATTTAACTGTAGTGTGACCCTGAATTGGTGCTAAAATCATGTCTACCATAATAAAATCCTGCAGATGTTCTGCACCATAAACAAACCACATCAAACAAGACAACTTTTCATTTAAGATCACTCTGCTCAGATTGTGTTCTGGCTCAGTTGACATTCTTTTCATCGGCCTAAAGTAACTGAACCAAACTGGAAAACACTACAATTTCTGTAAACACTATAAATGAAAATGACTGAGGACAGACCAATGTCCCAGTCCATTCCAGTCGCCAGGCGCCTGGTTATTAGTTGTCTTGTGAATTTGCTGAGCTGTACTCAGTAAGGTCACCAGGTGAAATCAGCACATTGCCCGTGTCATCAAACTGCCATCCTAAAAATGAAAGAACTGGAGATAATATATCCCCAGATGGCTTTACCCCATTCACCTACTCATGATATCGAAAATGTGTTTGCTATGTAAAAGCTCTTTCATCTGCCCTCTGTCCCACATCTGCTCCCGAGAGCAACCCTGAGCCTATGAGCCAGTGCTCGGGATAAATAATGGATCCCCCCCTGTCCTTTTCTGCCTAATGTAACACTACCATGTGTGTATTGAATGGAATAGAAACACAACCTCACAGAGTTAATTATTAATGCCAAGCCTTTTGCTCAATAAACCTCCACACAGACCTGCAAATAGACAGACATACTTTAAAGCAGGAAGTGAGAGGGTGAAATATTTGACCTCATAATGGCTGGCCTTGGCTAGTGAGTCATCTACTTCACATTGATTACTAGTGGCTCCAGGCTTTATATTGTAGATGGTAAAATTAACTTTAAAGGCCCAAGCACATTTTTTTGAACATGCACACCATGCACATTATCTGATAATGCATGTTTTCAGAGGTCCCATAAAGCCCATGGCTCATTTGTTTTATATTTAGGTTTTTTTTTTGATGATTTATTAAAGCACATGGATATTTTCTTTAATTGGATTAAGGGTATAGTACCCACATTATATATGATTTATGTTGTTTTGTGTGTCTTAGTGTGAAAACTGTTTGTTTTTTCCTTCTTGAACTGAACTTTGAATGTCAAAGGTTCAGGGAAAACAACAGTGAATCATCATTTATCACTACCTCTCCCTTTCATGACACGCTTAGTACTGTTTGTAGACAGTGCATTCACTCTCTACTTTAATACCATATAAAGATGTGGTCAAAAGCCTACAATATGCACATTAATGTCATGTTAATTTGGGGCTCTTAATGATTTCCTTGAAGTGTTCTTTTTCCAGGATGGACTGATTATACAGAATATATCTTTGGAGACTTTAAGGAAACAAGAATTGGGTGCACAAGTTTAAAATTATTTTGGAGTTTCTCAATGTACCAGTACTACTGGCAGCAAAACAGCCCCAGACCATGATGCTACCACCACTGTGCTTCACATTTGGTACAATTAATTTAAGTAAACTTCCAATTTTGCCAAGAAAAGTGTTCAAATATCCAGCTAGAATTATGCCAAAGGTTGCTGATGTCTACCAAAAGCAATTGGTTGGGCTATATCTTGCTACAGGACATTTAACCAAATATTAGTGAGGATGTGTTTATACGTCTGACCCTGTGTGGATTGGAGAAATTCCCAAACAATTTAAAACCTGTGGATCCAGTTCTTGTTTTTCAGTCATTAAAGAATGTACCCTGGAAAAAAGAAAAGTTCCATGAAATGGTTAAAAACCCACAATCACCATTACCTCTGAGACTAATCCTTCAGACCTGCGAATAATAGTAGCATGCTGTAGCCATGCTTAATCTGTAACCAAGACCGAAACTCACTCTTGCTGCTCTACTAAAGGGAGTGTTTGGTGGAGGAAAAAAGAGTTTCACAGACTTTCAACTCACTAAACAACAATGGGAAGTTATTTAAGAAGGCCATTAAGATGAAAATACTTAACTAAGCATAAAAGAGGAAAATTGTGTTTTCAACGATCTTGCTCTTCGCTTTTCAGGGAAGTATTAGCATAAAAGTTGACTCAGCTGTTGGGGAACTGAATGGATAAACTAAAACTACACAAAAACATACAGATTGGGTTGCCAGTATTTCTTTTACAGAGAAAGTGTCAAAGTATAACACTTATGTTGTAGCTGAAATTGATTTGGGTGCCTGTATGTATGTGATTTAGGGCATATCCAACTTTATGCCCCTCACTGTGCAAGGTAGAGAAAAGCCAGTGGTATGAATCATTCATGACAGATGCTGCAAGCAGAAATGGACCAGCATAAGTCAATAAAACACTAGGCCTGCTACAGCTGATTTAATTGGATTTCATCTGGAAATTCCAGTGGTGTTTTAATTTTAATATCTTATTATTTCCTATGTTGTGTTCAACATTCATTTAATATGAATTCCTGATGCCACGGGATCCCATTCTACTGTGAGCAATTATTAGAATCAGTGGGCTACCTAAATTTGTGGCTTGTATGGGTCTGGCTATGCTTACATCCTCATCCGCGATCGCATTTAACAAGACTGCCATGGGAAACATAACCTTGATTACCTGTTAGAAGGTATAATCATAGGTCGGTGCAAAAATGGCTCGCTGGATGCATTGCAAATATAAAATACTACATAATGACATACTGAGGAAAAAGCACAGGACATGATTTACAGACAAGGCTGCACTAGGGTCTTTTTAGCTGACGGTTACAGTCTGAAGTTGCAGGCCCACCAGGGGATGGTTTGACAGGGGCTGAAAATGATGAAATCCCTTTGTTTGTGCAATGCCAAATTCATCCCCCATGACAATCATAGACTTTAGTGGAGAAGAAATGACTGTTTACGGTCCCCTTGTTTTGCTCAGCCACACTGCCTACAACCATTTTATAATAGGATATTTTTGGTGTTATAGGCTTTACAAAGTTCTGAGACAAAGCTACATAGCTGTGGATTAGATTTGTAACAATGCAACAGGCCAGTTTTCACAGAAAAGGGGGGTATAAAGGTGCTGGACTGGCAACTGCTACGTTTGCCTATTCATGGGAACTGATTAAGATGTAACTCATCTCTAAGGAGTACAAAAGAGATGGTATAGTACTCAATTAGATTTTTGCACATACAAAAAAGGAAACATAGAAAGGGAAGAAACGGCTGAAACTGAAATTGAGGCAAATAAAAGATATAGAAAAAAACTAGTTAGCTCAATAATAAAAACAGGAATTTACAGTAAAGGTATGAATGGTGTTTAATATATTTTGGGTTTCACAACACAGACTCAGGAAATGAACATAAACTAGAGAGGAAGTTCATTTATGAGAGGCAGGTCAACAGTAGATTGCTAAGCTTTACACACACACACACACAAACACATGGAGACCGAGCAGGAGGAAGCAGGGTTGACAAGGTTGGCTTGTGAAGTGTGAGCATCCATGCCAAGCAGGGCCTACGCCCAGTGCCAAGGCTGGAGCATAAGAGACGCTTCACCCGCCTGAGGCACAAGCAATCAGTGATGAGGCCTGGGCAGGCTGGGCACTACCCAAGAGAGTGGAAGGCCATCCTCAATGATTAATGAGGGTCGGCGACTGCAGCCGGCAGGTTCAAAGAGTCAGAGGGATAAATGCGGTGAGGGTGGAGGGGGCGGTTGTGGTGAGAGCTGAACCAAAGCATAAATCCTTAAGAGGTTTTCCCAAGCTTCCACAATATAAGGGATGTCTCCAATTTCCTTTTGTCTTTGAAAACATCCCCACAAAACATTTGCTAGCAATTCCCATTACTAAGTGACCCTGACTTCATGAATTCTTGCTCTGTAGCATCAGAGCTCATAACAAAAGTTTCTCTGAAGGATAAAGTAGGATTTGGAGGAGTTAATTCTCCCTGCAAATATAACTGTGGTAACAGTTGTACTCACATTTTCTTCAGTTACTCACAAGTTGGAGATGTGATACTGTATTCTGGCAGCTGCTGACTAAAACAGATGGCATGATATCTACACACGCACACAATCTGTATACACATTCTTTCCCATCAATAAACACATGAGGACTGTGGATACATTTCGTGTTGGGGTCTCTGGGGAACAGCAGCCAAGTTTAAAAACGCGTTCTCTCACACAAAACTGTTTCTTACGAGCAGCAAACATACCCTTGCGTGTTTAGTATGAGTGCGTGGCTGTGTAATCTTCTGACAGTGCCAACCAAGTGTTAGCTGAGAATGTTAAAATGAAAATGACTTTGCTTTACACTGTCCATCCAC